TCTCCAGTGCAGAAGCACCTAAATGAGAGCTGTTCTGGTTGTTGCAAAATGGTAGTTAACAGAGATCTGTAAACTTGTAACTTTGGATTGTATTTACTTAGTTGCAAGTTGGAAAAATCAAGGGTGGAAGAGTATCTCCTTTGGATGAAACCGGGCTGGACTTTGACTTTGTTTCACATCCTCCTTATTTCATACAAAGGGTTTCCTGAAGTGCTAGTGATATAACAGATGAGAGGACTTTCTCCTCTCCTTTGCCCTCCTCCCCTTGATATCTCGGTATGAAAGAAAAAGGGGTATTATTCCAAGGCTGTTCAAAGCACTAATGGGTTGTTAGGAATGCTTCTGACTTGGACTGCTCAAGAATGATGCCTGGCACTCTTATTCTAGCAATATAAGACTTTAAAGATAGTGCAGACAGGCATATTCTTCTTGAACTGGGTAGGACTGCAGAGCTCATTGTGATTTTCGAGGAGGCCATCCTGTGCTTTCATTTCTAGCTTGTGAAGGTATATGTCAAAAACTTGGACAAGATCAAGAAAAAAGTAACTGCCTAAGCAGGCATTATATCTTGGAATAGCCCCGACAATGGCTCACGCTTATCTCTGCACGACATAGTCCATACAGCAACTTTTTGTTGCTATACAATATTTGCAAAGAAGAATAGGGAGAAAGCTCACTAGGATGATGGAAAGATGATTTTTGATTATTAGATTATGTCAGCTATTATCAGAGCCAATGAAAGCTTTATAGAGCTGAGGGTAACCTTGAAAAGATAACTTAAGCCATATGTCTAGTGTAGCAGTGTGCTATCTTGGTGAACTTTGTGTACTTGGCTTCAATATAGATTTTCAAATTACTTATAAACATCTGTTCTGAGTTTGGTAGGAGGAATGTTGACTGGGCTGTACAGTACTCTTTTGAAACAGGCAGCAGAATAATTGTGACTTAAAAAGAAGCATTTAAAGTTATTTGGGTGGTATTAAATAATGAAAAACCTTGAAAACAAACTTTAGGCAAATTTACTTGATTGTTGATACCTGTTTAAAAAATACTGCATTAGCTAAAGTCAGGGTGTTCATCCTGTTAGCATCTCTTAACTTTCACAGGTTACAGCAGTAGCAATAAGGATGCAGGTTATGCTGGTGCCATAAAGAGATGTGGCTGAGGAAGCTGTGGTTGCAGGTGCCTTGTCAGCAGAGTGCAGCAGCTCCTGTGGCTGAAATCTTTGTGCTTTCTTCTCTTCAATTTCTGCAACGTTTCTGTTGTTGATGGAGCAGCGTAGTTGCTTAGTGTTCTTCTCATTGCACCTCTTGGTCTGTAAACAGATGTGTCCTAGATCCATTTTGTCTTAGGCAGTGTTCTCTGAAGACTAGCATAACTTAGAAAATATGCCTTGCCTTCCTTTTTTCTCTGTGTCCACGGTTAAGGTCAGTCTTTAAGCAGGTGCAGAGATGGCAACTTCTCAGAGATATCCTTGCCAAGGCCACCAATAAACAGAAGGTAGATATGCTGTAAATTAAAAGGAAAAGATAAATCTGAATGCTCTCTGAAATTTTTCCCATAAAGATCTTGTGAAACAAAAAAAAAAAAAAAAAGCAAAAGCTTTGGTTAGATTTGTCTCCTGCGGCTGCTGGCATGGTGAATGCATGGGATTCCTGTTAGAAGGCACAAAGCGTCCCAGGTACAAGTGCAGGTAGTCCAATAAATGCTGCTAAGTCTGCTTACAGGCTGTTATGGTTGTCAGGCTTGCCCTGGGAAGTGTCAGAGTCCCAGAGAGAGCACCAGGATTGCTGACCTGCGTCCTGCCAGGCTCTCTACAAGGGTGGTTGTGTTTGTGACAAGGGTATGAAAATGCCTTCCACCACAGTGGGCCAAATGGCTGCTCTTTCTAGAAATGTCTAGAAAAATATTAAAGTGAATTGTTAAAAAAAAAAATGTAACAGATAGGCCCTCCCAGATCTGCAAAAATCCCTGCTAGAGGGAAAGGATCAATACTGTTGCACTGCTTTTGGGTACACATTACCACCTCTGTCTCGGTACTGGTTGAGATTGGTTTTCGAGTTTGGAGGGTGATGGGAATTGACAGGAAAAACATAATCACTTGAGGCGATTACATTGCAGGGTTATTTTAAAAATCTGTGTGAGTAGACACTCATAAAATTCTGTCAAGAATTATTTAAGTTTTCTCACGTACTTGAGTAGTAAATATTGGCTTTAGTATACCTAATTATTTTGGTGAATATCTGGTGGTGTGTATTTGTAGAACCTGTTTTGCTTTATTACATTACAACTGCTAATGACTCCAGTATTTTTGTTTTACTACATGTACTTCTTTTTAAAATAAACAGGCAACTTTTAAAAGTCAGCTCTTTTGTTCTCTAAGTGCATGACTTTTATTTGAGAGGGTGGAGGAGAAGTGGGGCAAATTTTATAAGTCTTAAATAAACAGCTACCCTTCTTCCCACCCACTGCTTCCTCCAGCTTTGTATTCCTACTTGCACTTCTGTATTCTTTGACTGGACCCACGTGAGCAAGATCAAGATGTGGAAATGCTCCCCTGCAGGATCTTGATCTGATGATTCTTTTCCACTGGCTCGTTCTTCCCAGTCTTGCAGGGTGTCTGTTGTCCTTCTGGGGCTGCAGTACAGAAATGATTTGTCATAGAAACAGCAAACATTATGAGGAGGTTTTCTTTTGGACTCCCCCTATTTTTTGGTTGGACGACCACAGCTGCTTGGCTTACATCTGCTCTCTGTTGTCACTCCCTGTTCCAGCCCTGCCGCTGCGTTCTGCAGTCGACTTACTGTTCTGTCCCTGGGTTTGCATTTCCCTAAAACTTGCAGTGTCTGCGACGATCCAGGCCTTTCTTGGGCCATGTAGCATCAAATGGTCTTTCTGCAACTCTGTCTTTGTACAGGTAACTTTTTATCATGCAAACTAATTTAGCAAGAGAGAGGCATTTCCCAAACACACCATGAAGTTTTAGAAAAGGTAAAAAAGGGAGACTGGAGAAACTAAATGTTAAGGTCACTGAGACGTCTGAGCAGCGGAATTCAAAACTATTATGAGAGAGGTGTACTTTAGGGTTGCTTTTATTTGTATGGTATATACAGCTTTCGTACCTGTGGAGCAGTGCACCCATTCTTAAAGGAATAAGGAGGGTTTTATCTGTCAAATGCAAACTGTGGTATGCACGTGTGTAAAGATGTACTGACAAAAAAATTATACGGAAAGAACTTTTGTAGTGTTTGTAATCTGGATTTCAGGTGAGGACATCTCGAATGGCTGTGAACGTGCTTTGCCTCCTGTGCTTTAAAACTGTGCTTCCTTTCCCAAAATTCTCTAATTGGTACCTAAATGAGGCATGAAATTAACACATATTTACAGGAGGCTGAATGTGTGGTTTGCAGAGCAGGTGACAACTAAGAGTTTGGTTTCATCATACGCTCAGTGCTCTAGCTGTAAACTGCTGCAGAAAGAAAGGGATCTCTGTTCCCACTACTGCATGTTCCTACCCCTTCTCTTGCTCTGACTACAGCAACTGTGTGACCCCTGTGTTTGGTGCCCTGGAGCAGCTCACTCGCCCTATGGCACATTGATTATTTATTTTAGTGGGTTTATTTTCTGATCACAGCTGATTTGAGTCATTGTATGTGTGCATGATTGCTAGATCTGCATGGGTGCAGGACTGCTAGATGCAACGCTAGAGGGGAAGCGGGGGATGGAAGAGCAGGAGGAGGAGAGAGGATGCCCCTTGCAGCAACAGCCTGCAGTTACAATGAATTAAGTATACTTTGAGTCTACACCCAGAGCAAGTGGAGACATTAGTCCTATCCCTGCTTTTTGGTGGCTTTCTTTTTGGGTGAGACTTGAACAAAGCTGCTTGACTCTGCTGCACTGAGCTTTTGGGTGTTTTTTTTGTATGAGGAGTCATCATTACCCTGTGGTAGAAGGCAGTGTGGCAATTTGAGTCTGTGTTGTTTGTATTGTACTGTTTTTATGTTTTAATTTATCACAGTGAAGATTTTGTGTTTGGAACTGCTTCTTTTATCTTGAATCTTGGGTAATGCTTTTCATCTGGGAGAACATCAGGTGACTACAACCCGCACCATGAAGTTATTTGTTCATGAGTCTGTGTAGACTCACTGCCCTCAGACCACATATGATTCTGATAGGTAGGGCTGGGTAGCACTGCTTGTAATTGACATTGCCTTACGTTTGCAATTACAATACCCTGGCATTTAAAGCTACTTAAAGTTTTGCCAGATTTTTAACCATTTAGGCAAAAGTCTTTCATGCTTGAATGCCTGATAAGGCTGGATATTCTTTTTTTAATTATGTGTAAACTTCATTCAGAACAGTTGAACTGCTTCAGAAATGAGGTTAAGGGAAAATTATGCTTTGAAATATTTAAAAGCAACTTATGGTGACCTTTTCTTTAAACTTCCCAATTGATTTGAAATTTGAAATCAGGTGTGTACTTTTTTTGATAACTCCCACCTGTGTCCACTCATTTTTCTCAAGTTCTCAAATAAGAAAAAATTACACTTCACACATGCTCAGTAAAGACTTGCAAGAACATAACACATAAAAGTTCTAAGGGATCTGCTCTTGATGAGCTGCTTGCATTATCTAGTGCAGACCAACTTGTGCTTGCATCGTCCTTATAAATCGGAGAACTCCCCAGGTGAGTACTGCTTTAGGGGAACGAGCTCCATGTTGTCCCAGTTTAGGTTGGTGCCCAGGAACTGGAAGTGAGAGTAAGGTCTTCTGTCCTGTTTGATCTCGATGATAAGCTTATGGAGCCCAGCTAGGGTGCAGGAGGAAACCAATTCAGTGCTGGAGCGCACAAGAGAACGTGGGACAGAGATGGGAAGGAGCTGACAAGGAGAGCAGGATCCCAAACTGCTGGAGCAAAGGATCAGCCTAAAGAGCAGCTATAATGCAGGGGGAGAAGGGAGTGGAGAGCAGGTGAGGACACTGAAATTGAGGTTGGGCCCATGGAGTTGGTGCTAGAGGGAGTGGATAGCAGGAACCTGTAAGCAATGATGTGTATATGGGGAAGTGGTGGGGGTGGGGGGGGGAGGGATAGGAGTGATGAGACTGGAGGGTTAACAACAAGACTGAAAAGTCAGGAATGCAAAATGTCCTGTCTCCTCTTTGATCTGATCCATATAGAGGCTGTCAGCTCTGTTCATTAGCTCAGATAGCAGAGATTTCTGTGTCAGTATGAAAGTCCCCAGACTTGTTATCAGTGTTGGAAAGCACGTGCTTCTCAAAAAAACCCAGGAAATTGCACACATGCAGATTGAATGCATCTATTGCAAGTTGCTACCTTAGACACCCCAGGCCTCCCTCGTTAGACCTCGTTGTGCTTCTTCCTTGGTTGCCAAGGGAGGCTAACTTAGGGACCTGCATATTAGGCACACAGGTGCATCTGATGCAAGTTTTGTTCCTTCTGAGTGTTCCTCTTTTTCCTGGGGACTGATTCAGGATACTGGTGTCTGAAGTACTGAAAGCTGACCACTTAACTAAAGTTTGTGGGAGCTGTGATTGAACCGTCTGTGTGCTTTATATATGAAGTGCGGTATAAAAGTATGTGCCATATAAAAGTGTGTGTTACAAAAAGTACTAAGTTCTGTGTGTCTCAAACTAGGCACCCAAAATTAGTCAAATGAAGCACATAGAAAACAACGTTTTCCCTTAATGTCTGTGTGCAAAATAGGGAGAGCCTACATGCAGAAGTGGGTTTAAAATTCCCTTACGTTTGTGAAGCTTTCAAACACTAATCAGTTCCAGGGTAAATGCAGTGAAGAAATGAATAGCATCCTAAGGGTTTGCTCTGAATGCTGGGTAAGGAAACAACCAACCAACCAAAAGCATGTGGTAAAAAATAAGAACTGAAGAAAAAGACCCCAAAGATGGGCCCCAGCGTCTGAAAATTACACGCCAAGAAATTCATAGTGGTTGTCTCGGTTTTTTAGGATTTGGTTTTTGGGTTTAGTTTTTTAGGTGTTTGCCAGTGCTGCTTGAATTCACTAAACAAGCTTTATTCACGTAGATCTTAAAAAGGTGGGACAACTACTAACGCAACAGTAGTAACTTGCACAGCGCAGGCAAACAAGCAGTCCTTAACCTTCCTGTTCTTGTCTCCTGACGCTGCCTGTTATTAGATGCTTTCTAGATGGTGGTTGAATAGATTGAGTGATGTAAGTGGCAATGACATTTCAGTGCAAATGTTCAGTGTATGGTTTTACTGTTACAAATTTGATACTACACAACACTGAAAGACAGAGGTTTAGAGCCCTTGTTTGGGGTTGTGAAGAAAATGTTTTTAAATTACAGGAACACTTGTGCTTCCTCAGAGTTGTTGAAAGCTGAAAACTTTAGTTTTTGAAACATGTCATTTGCTGTGTCAGCTGTCAATGAAAGGAGAGTGTAGCCAATGGAGTAAATGGTTTTGTGTAACTGTAAGGAAATCTGTTAAAAGACGATTTTTGAATGATGAATGAATGGGGGCCAATCAGATATGAATTTTATAACTGTTTTTTATGTTGTCTAGTTCATAACGGACACGATGATATCAAAGCATCTGAATAACAAGTGGTGTATATACAGCTAGTCTCAGTTGATCTTGTCTTTCCCTTCAGCTTAATTTTAAATAAAGTATGACACAGCTGTACTATGGAGAAAGTTCATTTTATTTCTAAATCATTCTTTTCCAAGCTTTGCAAAGGCATTAGGCCTCATCAAAATACAAGTTTCTGGTAAAGTGGCAGCTTATAAGATTTTTTTAGAGCTGTTTCGTTGTCAGAGTGCAAAGTAGACTGTAGAAGAAGCTTTTCGGGATTAGAGTGGTCCTTTTCCTTTCTGCTGTCAGATAAGCAGGTCACTGACCTCTTCTTCCTCGTTTCCATTTTGCTATGTATAAAAAGCCATATTAAATATGGGGGCAGGGATAATTCAGCACATGAGGGGAGGCTGCTTAAGCTGTGGTTTTTCTTGATCTGTAAACTTTAACTTTTTTAATAACTTTAAAATGACTGGAGTTTTGCCAAACTGTATGTACTTTTAAAAAAATTTTGCTACTACTCTCCAAAACGACACACCTTTTAAACTGTGAACAAGAATGCTTTTTATTTATTTATTTTCCAGAGCTTATAAATTTCGGATGCACCTTTCTGCAATTTTATACTTTAAATGGATTTTTGAATGTGTTTTTTTCTAGAGAGAGTGCAGAAGGAGGACGAGTGATTGTAGAAGTGGATGACAAAGTGGCAAAAGTCAGAAATATAAAGGTATGCTTTTTGTTCTATTTCTTACATAAGGATTCTGACGTGCCAATTTTATATATTTGCTTGACCAATTTTAGGAGAAAAATTTAGATTGGCAGTTTTAGCACTGAAGCAAAACTTTTTTTTTCTTTTTCTTTTCTTTTTTTTTTTTTTTTTACATACACAGGTAATGTAGCATCTAGCTGTGTTATCCTTTGTGTTCTGTATTTATCAAAGCTGCTGCACCCTGGCTGCAAGTCACCATATATGGCTGTTATTAACTTGTTCAGATTTTGCGCTTATCCTATCACTACTAACATCTGGATAATTTCTCTCCCCATTTTTCTTCTCCGCCTTTCCTTTTTGCACTCAGAGGGCAACTAACTGACTTGTGTGAAATATGGCAAAATGTGTTCAGCTACAGTTCAGGCCTTAGTAAATGGGCAAGACCTGTAAGAATAAACTTAATGTAGCTGACTTATGTTTGAGAGTCTACTTGCATGGGAATCAACCCTATATTTTAGACTCTTGCAATCCTTAAGCTGCCATGCTGCTCCACTAAGTTAACAGAATAGGAAATAAGCAATTTTGTATTGTCTAACATCTTTCTACCTCCAAGGTAAGTAAATGAACAGTGGACTTGCCAAGATTGTGATAAGTGGGGATTCTGTAAAGATGGATGTGTTTTATATTTCTTGCTTCCTTTTTCTTTATATCTGCAAGGAACCCACTTTTTTTAAATGGTTAGTTGGTTCAAAAATTGGATGAATGGATTTGAACTTCTTATTCTTTTCCATGACAATTTTTTTGTATTGATGCTAGGTATTCTCTCTTAAAGACAGAAGCTGGGAAAAAGTATCGGTATGGAGATCTTTCTCATGTACATAAAGTGTTGTTTATGATCTGTGTAGTTCCTTTCTTTATTGTGACCGGTATTCAGGTACTGATTCTTTTAGGGTTTGCTAGTTTAAAGGCAGAATTATAGCATTTGTGCTAATTAAATTACCATTGGAAGGCCAATGCTTTTGCTAAAAACATGACTACAGGTAACTTGTACCTGATTATGATAAAGAGAAGATCATTACAAGTGATTACTTCTGGGCATGGAGATCTTTTTCTATCATTTGCATGATGCAAATGGAGTACTTGAAGAGAGTAATCAAGCCTCAGGTCTCAGTTGGATAGATACTGCAAGACTGAGGATTCTGCACAGGCTGCTTTGTTTTCTTTTATGATTCTTCAATAATTCCAATAGGCTTTAAAGATGTTCTAATATTGCTTTGTTCATTCTTATTCCATTTTTAACAAGTACTTAAGCATGCGCGTCAGAAACAAACTTGCGGCAAATAAACTCAGAGCGTAGATAAGAGAATTAATAAAATACCATAACTTTTAAGATCAAAACAGTAGATGGTTTCATGTTCCATTGTGGTCCTTATAAACAACTGCTGATACTGAAGTACTTGATGTCCCAAAAAAATCCAGAGGTGAAAAAAAACTACAGAGTAAGGAGTAAGATAACTGACAGAAAAGCTGACTATCACAGCAGCCATTCTAAACCACTAGGCCAGTTTCTCCAGGCAAGCTCATCTTTGGAAATTTTTTCTGAAAGGTTGTATTCACAGAGTTTGAGATTTGCTACTCTCTGAAATAATTTTCCCCAATTCCTTATATGTGTGATAAACATTTCCAAGGAACCTTTCTTCTCCAGCTGTAATGTTGTCTGTTCCTTTTTATTTTCTTTGGAAAAGCTTTGGTAACTGAGACAAATGTGAAGATTTGGGCTTCTAAGGCTATCAGCCCCAGCTGGGAGTGCCTCTGTGAGCAGGTGGAGGCCTTAGCTATGCAGCTGTGTAATTAGGTCCAGCTGAGCCTTATTAGACCTGGACTTCTAAAGAGGAGCTGTCTTTTAAAGAGGCTGCTTTGGGTGTGCCAGGAGACCACAGTGGGGCGAGGGACTCCTGCTGCAGTTTGGTAGTCTGAACAGGATTATTTAGAGATGCAGGAGCTGGCCTGTGGACGTTTTTGGGGCTTGATATTTTGTCATTGGTGAGTCTTAAAGAGAGAGGGAGTTTACTTTATGTATAAGCTAAGTTTATATAGTCTCTCATCAATTCAAACTAGTTTATACCAGTGTATAAACAAATACTTATATGCCAATGTTCATATAGCTGTATTTGAGGTAAGCTTGCTTCATATTTAAAAAAAATGAAAAGCTTTAAGTTGGAAACTATCCCAAAATTTGTAAGGTACAGACATACATTGTGTATCTGTTTGCATCAGGCAAGAGGATAGAGTATTTTTCTATAGGAAATGTGCAGCTACTCTGTGATTAGGTGACTGCAGGAGTGTTTTTTTTTTTTTTCATGTTGCAATAGGCAGACACTACTCCAAGCCACCTTTGGCCTATTGCTGCAGAAAATATCTGAAAGTAAAGGTAGCTGCCTAAAAAGGCCTCTGAATCACGGTGTGGCAAAATCCTCATTACTGAAGATGATCAATAGGCTCATTAAAATGTTAGCTCTAGCCAAAGGAAACCTTGGTGGTAGTTAATTCAATGTGACAAATTTAGAATTATATGGGATTTTAAATATTTGAAACTCCTTTTCTTCCAGGATAACTTTAAATTATTGCTATCCTCTTTCACTTTGCTTTTTCTTGGTTTAGGAAAAAAAGTTGTTAAATGAGCCTGTAAATTCATTTTCCTAGTTAATGACAATGGTCAGCCCTTATAGTGCCTTTTATCCAGTAACCTGACAGCGCTGCTTTCCCTTGTTTTTAAGGATGTTATTTAAGAAGCTTGTTTAGGTACTGATTAATAGTGAGTCTTTTTTATGCTTACGTTATTGCAAATGTCAAGGTCATTAATAAAGTTACTGATTAGGTCAGTGTTACATATGGATCCTTTCACTTTTGTGTAATATTGTGACTCATTGCTTTCTCTCTTTGATTACTACAACACGTAGTTCCTTGCTCATAGACTTATCTATTTTATTGACAATTTCTTGAGCAAGATTATAAGGAAAGACCTATATAATTCTCCTAATATTTCAGTCACCATTTCTGACTCTGAACAGAATTATATGTAATATCACAGCCTAGTTAGAAAGATGTTGTCCTAACCTAAAGAAAGTGTAAAATCAGACAGGTTGGTGTAAATACTCTAATCCTTATTTACTGGTGTTTTTTGATAAATAAAACTTCCCAAGACTATGGGGGAAAATAGGTTTGGTGGTATCAGACAAAATGTTGTGGAGAAAGTATGCCTAACTCTACAGAAAATAATTTAGTAGTACTATCAAAGGATTATCTGTGAATATACTTCTCCTATATACCTCTTTTCAAATTATTTAAGTTTTAGATTCTAGATGTAAGAAATTTTCTTCTCATTAATTCTGCACTGAAACATATCTAAAATAAGTGCAGCTCTTGGGGAAAACTGGCAATTAAACACCAAATAATATCAGCTCTTCATCTATTTGCTCTCCTGAACCATCTACAAAAAAACCTTTTGTTTCCTATCAAATGGTACTTTATTTCCAGCATACAGGGATGAGAGTAAGAACCCAGCTTTGGTTTTTGGTTGGCTGCAGAAGAGTTAAACCTCTTGAATAGTGGTAATCCTTTGCTGTCTTCCCCCATTTTTCCATAAGCACAGACAAGTTCTCTTTCAGCTCATTTGGAGAGATACTTACCTAGAGCAGTTCAGCTCATTTTGGCACAAAGAAGTGGGGCAGATGTCCTGGCCTCTGCATGTCTGTAAGGACAGAGGTAGTGATACCCCAGTAACTTGTGCTTTGCTTGGCAGTATTGCTACCCAAAGTCTGGGAGAGCTTCTACAGGTGCTCAGACCATGATCTCTTGAAACTCTGGAGTGGATTGTGTGAAGTGGTGAATGATAGGCATGCTGGAACTTTTTATTATGCTAGAAGGGTTTCTTTGTTGTTATCATTAATCAAAATGCAGGATTTGCGGTGCCTGCATCTGTAGTATGCAATCACAGTGGAAGAAGTATCAGCTTGTGAATGTGGCAAAGCAAAGGGGAAACAGAGGAACAGACCTTTATTTGCAACTAGGGAGTGAGAAGCTAGGTTTTGTTTTCTGAGTCTGTGTATCACTTCTGTGATGCAGTTCTCTGTCATTTTTCAGTTTCTTTGAGAAATATAGAAAGGAGATAGAGCTTTCCTGCCTAACACGATATTGTGAAGATTCATTTAATTATGTTTACTGTTTACAGTGTGGAGAGCCTTACCTGTAGTACACAAACCCTTCAGCAGAAACTCTTCAGTAGATCTGTCATGGATGCCTCCCTCTCACCCTGAGAATCGAAGTAAAAATAACAGGGGATAAACTATTTGCCTTTCCTCTTCCACAGTACATATCCTGGATAAACTTCCCTTAGTTCTAAAATGCTGACTTTTTGGTCAGGTTCTGTCTTTTTCCGTCTACTTTCAGGTGGACAGTAGGCTTGACGGCACGTGGGACTCAAGAGAAAAGATAGTGGCATTCAGCTTTGATTACTGCTATTGGTCAGTTGATCCCGAAGATCCAAAGTATGCATCTCAGGAAATGGTAAGTGATGCTATTCTTTGTATCTGTCTTGGTTCCCACCTCATTTTGTCCTTTATATTCACACCTACAGAATGAGATTGAAGAGCAGGGTAGATGAATTTGTTTTTTTTTTCTTTCCCTATCT